CAAAGCACTTTATATAGGTCAATTTAATTCAACATTAAAGAGGCCTAACCTTACTTTTTTAGAATCTCATTTATTTATTAGGTAAAGATTACATTAAATGTACAATAATTATTATTGCTTTTAGAAGCAGTAGGTAATAGTTTGACAATACCTAGCAACATGATTTAAGTAGAAATGGATTTTTGCTATTAGGTACATTGAATTCAATTAATTGTTTAATAAATAGGTAGGTATCTAATTTCAATTTGTTTGGATTTTTATTTAAAAAATAGGTAGTTTGGAATGTTTAAGCTGTGTTTAACATTTAATTTCACTGAAAACTTAAAACAAATTAAAACTTAAAGATAATTTAAATCGTAGAAAAAGAATCGTGCGTTTTCTTGGATGCCTAACCTCACTTTTTGTTTTATATTTAATTTTACAATAATTTAATGAAAAATATTAAACATTAACAGTAAAACAAACAAATTACACCGAGAGAAATAGTCTGGGTATAGTTAAAAAATGATTTGTTTTAATATATTTGGTAAAATATAATAAATAATTCTTCTATATACCAAATCAGCACTTCTTAGTAACTATATTCAGAATTACTTAAGTTTATTTTGAAAAAATGATTTGGTTCACTGTATTTGGTTATAAAAAACAAATATAGTTTAATAATAACAAACCATTTTCAAATAGAGTTTGTATGAATAAATCGAGTTGTTGCTTGCTTATAAAAAACAAATGCAGGATAAAACACGTTGATTATTCGCCGTAGATGCTTTAGTTCGGCCATTGTGTGAGTTTGTGCAAAGGGAGTGGACGCGTCCGGACGTGCTGTATAGTTTATACCTAAATTAGGTAAATATGGATACATTTTTGATTAAAAATTCTTTATTGATTAATACAATAAACATTAATGGCTTGGTTTTTAAACGCGTATGTTACATAGTAACTGGAATAAGAAAAACATTAGAGGAACCCAGATTTGGCAAAATCGAATATATTGTGTATGAAAATGATAATCTGATATTCTTTGTTTGTGAAAAAGTTAAAATTTATGGCTTTAACAGCCATTTTGACGCATTTGAAATATGTAATAATATTCGAAGTAAAAATTTTTTATCTAAAAAATATGAGAACGACTGTAACAGTTTTCCCCTAGTCGCACATTTGGGAGGTAATGGCAGCCTTTTTATTTCATTTACAAATTTAGAAAAATAATATTTTTCTAAATTTGTAAATGAAATAAAAAGGCTGCCATCACCTCCCAAAATTTAATTTGTTATGTTTTTTAAGTTTAAGAATTTTAAATTAAGATGTTTAGTTTACTTAAGTTTAAGATGTTTAGTTTACTTTACCAAAAAAAAAAGTTTTTGTTTGCAAACATGTTTTTATTTTTTATTAAAATAAAATGTATTGTTATCAATGGCCGAGTGTTATTTAATATAGAAAACCCTAATTTTTATAAAAACGCTAAATTATAAAAATACATGTTTTGTTTTAATAATACAGGGTGTTTCAGACTTGTGGTGCCAAAAGCTCGGAGGAGATTCCTCTCATCAAAATATGAAAAAAAAGTTCCTATGAACAAGTGTCCGAAAATGCTTCGTTACCGAGATACAGGGTGTTTTATTTAAAAAAAAAGTTTAAATTTGATACTTTTTTGTTACAAAAATAATCATAATAATGTATAAAAAAGTGTTTTTAAGCTATAAATAAAAAACTCAATTAAAAAAAAACAAACACCCTGTATCTCGGAAACGAATCATTTTCGGACACATGTTCATAAAAACTTTTTTTCATACTTGAGAGGAATCTCCCCTGAGCTTTTGGCACCACAAGTCTAAAATACCCTGTATATTACTTATTTTTTAAAACAAAACGATTTGTTAACAAAAAAAGATCATTTGTTTTTTATAAATAAATATATTTTTTTTTAATAAAAATTTGATTCTTATAAATAAATAACTTATTTATTACGACTAATTGGTTTGGTTTTAATAACCAAAAACAAATTATTAAGTAAATATGACCAAATGTCTTGAAGCTAATCATTTGTTTTTAATAACGTAGCCGTTTGTAAGTCAAATACTGAATAAAGCATTTGGTTATAAAAATGCAGATTTGGTAATAAAAACCATTTTTTTCTCTCAGTGTAGTGCTTATTATAAATAAATTAAACCAGTTTAGTACGTTAATTTGTTAGAAAAGGATTAATTTGTGAAAAAAATACCCCTAGCGAGAAAAAATCGAACTAATTACTTGCCTCATAAAAATTTTTATCGGCCTAGGCCATAACAAGGTATTTCTTTATCGAATGTTGAAAACATTAAAGTTTAAATTATAGACCGCGTGGAGATAAAATAAATTATTTGTCTATGGTATTTTTTGGAAACGTAGAAAAAATATAGTCTAAAACACATTTGGAATTGCAAATTCCAAATTTGTTACAGAATATATTATTCTTTTGTAAACACAAATAATAATTTAACTTTTAACAAGGGTGAGAATTCGTGAAACGAATCACTGTTAGCTCAAGCTAATTATTTAAAAAAAACTCCCTTAATAAAGGAGAATTTTTTGTTTGCCTCGATTTTGCCGGAAATTATACTTTTAATGTAAAAAATTCCAATCAATCATTTTATTTTGCTAGTTCACAGGCGACGATTCAGCCTTATGTTATTTACTACCGTGAAGACAGCAAAGAAAAACATCACAAATTAATAATCATTTCAGAACATAACAAACATGATGCTATAATGGTACATTCAAAACTGATCCCTCGTTTAAAAAAAATACACGGCGAAAATAATGTCAAAAAATTGATTTCTTTCTCTGACGGATGTGGCGGTCAATACAAAAACAAATTAAATTTTCTTAATTTACTAAAACATAACGATGATTTTAATGTAAAAGCTGAATGGCACTTCTTTGCTACTTCACATGGAAAAAGTGCCTAACACGATTTTCAAAAAGAGCATTGAGAAAATTATAAAAATGCAAATTGTTTATTATAAATATTTTTTTTTTAATTAAAATAAATTTTTATGAAAATTTAATAAGGTAAAATTTTATTAAAAGGCTTTATTTCCATGAGTGATTTTCGAAAAAAATCGTCAAAACGCTCTTTTTAAAATAACTTTTATAATTGTTTATATATATATTTTTTTTAATTTGGCAATATATTACTAAATAATTGTTTTTTGTATTTTCCAAAGTCACGAAAACAGTGATCCGTTTTACGAATTCTCACCCACAAGTGTAGTAATTTTTAAATATTTAAATTGAATTCGACAAACTAATTAATTCTAACTTCAATGGCGCCAAGTTTTCTGACCTATTGAAAAAACTCCAGTTTTGCAATTTAACGTACTATTAAATGTTTTTTACGTCCTTCAAAAAACCACAGGTGATTCTTAAAAAAACAACAATTTTTAACCAATTAACCTAAAGAATCTACTATAAACTAAATGTCAAACATCTTCTTCAGCCGTTCGTGGAAATATTTTAAATAATTTGATTATGTTAAGCAAGGAATGCTGTGTAATTTAAAACTGGTTAAAACTTATAAAATTGTAATTTTAAAATATTTTATTTAAAAGTATTTATGTCTTTTGAATATACCACTGGACTGTCGAAGTAGGTAGAAATTTGCCCTTAGGATGTTATAGGGTTTTTATACAAATATATTATAAGAGTAGTTTTATGAATTTTCTGCCCTATATTAAAAAGAAATTATAGTACATTATCTAACAGGCCGAGAAAGCATATTATAGCCGAGCTTAGTGTTGCAATTTTGTACTCTTTTTTTTAGGCGTTAAATAATTCTGTACTTACTTTGAAATTCTTTTGTTTGCGACATTTTGTCATAGGTAATGTGATGTTTGACATTATAGGTTATGTGCATAAATTTATTCTACAGTGAACTGTAATTTTACAGTTACCTACACTGATTTAATGCTAAATTTGATAGGTGGAAGAGTGCTTTCTATGTTATTTTTTATATTTTTATTGTCTGCTTTGAAATAAATCCGATTATTATAAATACATTAATAAATGAAATTACATAAAAGGAAAATGTTTACGTCCTTACCTATTTTTATTATAGATTTTAAATTAAATTATAGAAATAACATTTCTACAAATAGGTATTTTAATATTTTAAAAAAGGAACAATGTAAAATTAAAAATTAAAATAAAGTATTTTTTAAAATTTATGTCATCTTTTAAATTATTTTTATTATTTTAATATTTTAAAAAAGGAACAATGTAAAATTAAAAATTAAAATAAAGTATTTTTTAAATTTATGCCATCTTTTAAATTATTTTTTAGAATTTTCTCTTTGAATGTCCATTTTGGCAATTTTTAAAAGAAAACGTAAATAAAAATAGTTATTTATGTCATTAGGCTAAGAAGTGAGTCTTTTTGTACTGAGCTCAAAGTTTAAATTTAGCATGGCATACAACATTTGATTTTCAAGGTATAATTTAATTTGTTAAACGATACATAAAACGTACAATTATAACAATAATTATTAAAAGTGAGGTTAGACAGACTACTGACAGGTCAAATTGTTTGATTTTTCCAAATAGGAGGAAAAAAAACTTGACCGGATTGTCCTAAATTATTTTAACAGCCTATACTATTAGATAATCGATTATAGAACGCTTAAAGATAAAAGTTATTTTAACCACACTTTTAAGGCTGGTTTGTACACAATATATTTTGTTGTGTTGTACAAAACTTTATGACCACAAAAAATCACAATTTTAAAAGATTTTTCTCTATAAAAATTAAAAAAGCAACTTTTATTTTTTAAGTTATATAAATACTAGCCCTGCCCGCGGTTACGGCTATATAGTTTTGCGGCATTTAGAAACATGAAAAAAAGACAAAAAATTAAACAAAAAGGTTTTTAGTGCAAAAGGTCATCCAAAGTCAGAAAAAAAAAATGTAAAAAAGTCTTAAAAAATTAGCCATCTCTTTGAAAAAATCACATCGATCCTTTGGTCCGTTGCTGCCTAAAAGGCAAATAAACAAACACACTTTTGCAAATATTTTGTTTTCTAATTATATAACCGTGGCTTTTACAAAAAAAAGTTGTATAGTAAATAACAAATCAAACATGTGAATCACAATAGGTATTTAATGGTATAATTTATGTACAATTTATAAAGAAACTATTTCACAATCATTAATGGTATTTAAAAAACCTTATTATTTTCTATTTTATTTGAACCCTAGCTATAGGAAACAACATCGATTACCAACATGTATACATATTCTATAAAAAAAATCGCCTTATCACATTTCAAAATAACAATTTATAAATCTTTAAATTTCACAATTTTTGTATTATTCTTGGTAACCGATTAACTTTTTTATTTATTATTTTAATTGTACTTTGATTTATTAATTCCTAACGTTAAACCTTCTGCCTGTCCTTACTGGAGAAGTTGCAGTGGATGGTGATTCCTCAGCTGCTCCAGCTGGGGCTTCGCTTTTGTCCTTGGAGAACCTGTTTCGCCTGCCGTTGGTTTTTGATGCTTTGGTGACAGGCTCTATTGGAGCTTCTTGTTCTGGCTCAGATTGAACTTTGACGTGAGATTCTGAAAAATAAAAAAAAACATTACTGATATGAAAGTAATCAAGAAAGCTTTTTTCAATTTTGTTAAGCAAAATAATTTATACATTACACAGTGAAACAGTACGAAAATTACATGGTCGCGATCTGGATGAGTCTATAGCACTATTTTTGATAAACAAAAGTCCCAATGGATTTTTAAAGTTAGCTCAATTTTGAAACTTATGGCCATATTTATTTTAATGTATTTTTTAAGATAAATTGTAATTTATCATGTAATATATTACATGATAAATTACAATTTATCTTAAAAAATACATTAAAATAAATATGGCCATAAGTTTCAAAATTGAGTTAACTTTAAAAATCCATTGGGACTTTTGTTTATCAAAAATAGTGCTAATATATTGAATTTTTAATAATTGTTTAATTAACTACTGCCAGTTTTTCTACAATCTATTGATGGAACCGACTTACTTTCATTTATGGGTTAGAAAAGCAGGGGTGGACACCCATATTACTTTAGTGTATATACAAGTTTAATAAACATTGTTTATATGTACATATTAGGGTGGTCGTTAAAAATTAAATTTTTTGGGACGCCCCCTAAAAAGCATCTTTTTGGTGAAAAAACATTGGGAATAAAATAAAATTAAAAAAAAAATCCCAGTGTTTTTTAATTAAACAAAAAATTTAATTAAAATCATAGTTATAAATTAAAATTAATACACTGCGCGTCAAAATTAATGCATAACAAGTAAAAAATCCAACTCTAAAACGCCTTTACCAATCTTTATAAAGTTTTGTATAAAAATACTTTAACTTATATCTTAGTTTACGTGTTCAAGGGTTTTTCGAGAAAATATCCTCAAAGCCCTTATATTTAATAATAAAAAATGCTCGAAAAAAATTTGTATAGGGAAATTTATTTTTAAAAAATAAAAAATATGTTCTGAAAGACCGTATTTTTGTTAGTATACCCTAAAAATTTTGTACAAATCAAACGAACAGTAACTAAAATACAGCGCTTCAAAGTCGTCAAAAATGACCACTTTTCAGGAAATAAGAAAACGGGTAATTTTTACCGACTTTGAAGCCCTGTATCTTCGTTACTCTTCGTTTGATTTGTACAAAATTTTTAGAGTATACTAACGAAAATACGTTATTTAATGGCATATTTTTTATTTACTTAAAAACATTCCATAAAGTTATTTTTCGAACGTTTTTTTAATTATTAAATACTTTCTCGAAAAACCCTCGAACACGTAAACTGAGATTCATTTCATAAAGATTGGTTAAGGCGTTTAAGAGTTATAATATTTGTAAATTAGGAGTGCATAGTTAAAGCATATCCCAAGTAGCACATAAATTTTGTTATTCGACTAAATAGTTATATATTTGCTTTATTGTTACTTCCTTTAAGAGCGAATAGTCGAATAAAGCTCGCCAAGGTCACCAATATGCTTTGGATACTGATATATTTTATTAAAGTGTTTTATAGTTGTTGTTGAGACTGATTAATAAAACATTTTTAAAGGCTTCGAATCAAATGTGTTATACATGGTTATAAATCAATAGTTATAAATCTATTTACGCTTGAGCTAAATTTATTTTATAATTGATTTAAAATGATTTTATTGGGGGTGCAGGATACCATAACAAAAATAAAATTTTATTTTTTGTAAGAGCTTTATAACAAGATTTTATAGCTGTTTTGGAGATTTACTTTTAAAACAATTTGCAAATTGCAACATTTTTGCGTTCAAAACCACTTTAATAAAAGTATTTTATTATTATATTTAATGACGCTTGTATAAAATAATTAAAAGTAGCTAATAATTATTAGCTAAAAATAAAAAGCGCTTTAAAATCGCAATTTTATCTTATGCGATATTCCTATATAGCTTCATTATAATACTAACCAAACTAACCAAACTTTTTATGCTAATTCAGAATGCATCAGTCTACTGCAAAGCTATAAAATGTCGAGTAGTCAAATTTCTAATTGGAAAAAGCTTAAACGTAGTGGTAATTTCAGAAAAAGAGTGAAAGATAGCTATTAAATAGTCGCGACATCATCACCCAAGCAACAATTTAAGTATTTGTTACGTATATGGGACTATTGAAGAAACTTCAAAGTGTTTTGCGACAGTCGCCGGTCTCTTTATATTACTCTTTCATTACTACGTTACGACTAAAGTGGGGAACAATTATTGAGTTCCAAAAAGGTAGCAAATATGTCACTAGCTATAAACCCTGCTACTATTTGGGACGTAGCTGCTACGTTATTAGAACGTTCCAATATCGTTGGTAGAGCGTTATAATTACTTTTATTATTTGTTTTTACTTCTATATTAACTGTCTTTGTCAAACTTATATTAGATTATACTATCCCTCCTTTTTTAAATGGAACCACTACGGACTTGGCTTTTCAATGTCGTGTTTTATTAAATATGTACTGGTAGCTTATAACTTCCAGAATAACAATATAATGTTTAATTAGACAGGTAGATTTACAAACCCTTTAAATTTTACTGTTGAACTTTTGAATTTAGTTTTTGTAAAATAAATGCGCTTCATCAATATTTAAGTATAAACAAATTATTTATTTAGTAAAGTTTATAAATAAAAAAATCTTAATATTTATTATTATTTTTTTTTAATTATTAATACCGTCTATTACCAATAATATTTCTATTTATTAAAAACTAAACAACCATTTACAAACAATTAAAATAATTTATTATTTACATTACCACGTGGTACTGTACAGTAAAAAATGGCCGATAAGAAGCATTTTCCTTTGAAGTAGTTTTCGCTACTTTAAAGTTTTTTTCCACTTTACGGTTGTTTTGGTTAGTACCATAAACGTTCCAAATACTAAAATAATAACTTTTAAGTTATTAACTTTGTAGTTTTTAACTCATGTTCCAGTTTCGAGATTTTAACTTGCAAAGGGACTACAAAGTAAAAATAATTATAATGTAATCTTTAGGTAGCAACCGAAAGTAACTGCTACAAATTAAATTTACTTGAAAGTTTTTTTTACTTATAACACCTTTTTTAAAGTTGCAAAGTCTTCTTGGGGACAACCAAGTTTTACTTAAATGTTTATTACTTTATAGTAACAATTTAAGGAAAAATTAAGTTTCTGTTACAAAATATTGCTATTTAAAAGTTAGAATTACTTTTAAGTAAAAATTAAAGTAGCTGTTTAGTATACTTAACTAATTTAAAGTTATCACCACTTTGGCAATGGTTTTTGGAACCAAAAATGCTGCTTGGGCATCTACTGCTAAGTTGGAATCTATTAGCACAGATTTGGAACATCAAAATGTAAATTCAAGTTCTTCGAAGATCTGAAAGCCATGGCTTATAACTAGAGCTTGGAACTTATGATAAAGGAAGTGCCAATGTAGAACTTGTAGATTCAAGTGACGAAGAAGATACCACAGAGCTGTCCGAAATCAGTAAAAATATTAAGGTGAATCAGCGCATCCGACTATGGGCTACTTCCTGTAATATTAGTCATTTTGCATTAAGGGAGCTTTTTGGTATTTTCAATGACAGAATTCCTAATCTTCTTCCAAAAGATCCAAGAACATTATTAAAAACTGCTAGAGGCTACTGCTTTGTCTTTTGTCTGTGAATCACGGCACGTACACTAGATTTTAAACACACAGTCGTTTGAAAAATACTATTTTTAAAATAGCACTGACAAAAATAACCGTAAACCTAATAAACACCTGTGTTGATCACCAAAACCTCATTAAGATTTACATGAACTTAGACAAAATTATCGAATAACATTATCATAACAAGTACTTTATAACAAAAGTGTTATTTAAGGTAATTGTAGTGAGTTTTAAAAAACAATATTGTTTTATTACCTCTTTATTAATGTCATAATACTTAAAACATTCGATATTCGATGGTGCTGCCACCATATTAAAAAATGGGAACCTGGAATCTTAAACGTGTTTGCTGGAGATGCGGTATTGCCGAAGTTACCATAATTTCTGTTGGATTGATTGTAGGTAGCATGCAGTGAGACCATATATTTAATATGTTTTAAATATATGAGTGAGACCTACACAATATTCGCATAAATTGATTAAAACTCATTAATCGTCTCTTGATGATGCTATTAGCAGTTAAACTTGGTAAAATGTATTCGATATTCTACGACACATCCCTGCCAACAATAACGATTATAAACTCTACAGGGATTGATGGATTCTAAATTTCTCGAAAAAAATGATTATAAAAACAAAAAGGCAATAATATCTATACAAAATATAATTTCGTAGGTATCTAGAACATTAAAAAAATATTTGACATTTTGACAACATTGTAGCTGATAAAATAGGTGAGAAACAATTTTGTTTTCGCGACGACTTTTATATAGATAAATTATATATCAGAATTGTGTTATAAAACTAATTTCAAACACAGTTTAATTTTATAGGTAGTATATGTCGTAAGGGATAAAAATGATTTAATTCAAATCGCCATGTTTTTCATTGTTCAAATCAAAATGAACTTTATATTCGAGGCAACCATATTGTCATAAATACGAAAAATCACATTAATATCGATAAAGTCTTTTGAAAGTTTCGATTGTATCATCGGATTTGGCATTTAGAGTGCAACAAAACGCAATGCAATATTTTTTTAATTTTATTAGAAACAAAAAAAATTAAAAAATAATAATATTTTTTTTTTAATTTGGTAAATATGGGCAAAATTGGAAGCGCTGTAAAATTTAACCATAAATATATATGTATAATGTCAGTAAAGTTGACGTGGTAAGAGTATTTTACAATCAGAGCCGTTAATATTGTTCATGAATTTATTATATACTATCCAAAGCCTGTGAAATTCATCAAGCCGCCATCAACCTAATAATTTAGGAGAGCATCATGAGAGCATTTAACAAATCATTTTTGTCGCCATTATTATCGTATAAAAATAAAAATAAAGTTTTTCGTGATTCTTACAAAATCAAAATGTCATCGCTAAGTT